GAAAAACGCCCCCCCAGCCGTTATATCCGATATCGGCGTCATAGGCTCGGACTTTAGTCACCAAGTCTCCTGCTTTGAGATTCCGGGGAATCTCCTCCACTCCTTCGGCAGAACCGTTGGAGCTGACTGGATACAGGATGACTGGAGCGTTGTCGTTCTGATCCAGAATGAACACCTTCACTGTCACGTTGCTGCCCAGTGGAGGACTTCCACCATCGGTCGCCACCACTTGGAATTGGAAACTTTTCAATGTCTCAAAGTCAAAGCTTTTCAGGGCTGAAATTTGTCCATTGTCAGAATTAATGTTGAGGAAAGATGCAATGTCATTTGTCTTTCCATCTCTAAATATTTGATATGAAATGGCCCCATTTTCATCTACGTCTTTTTCTGTTGCACTCACGGAAAATGCATATGCTCCGGCAATATTGTTTTCAAAAAGATAGAATTCTAACGGAGTTTGTTCAAAATGTGGACTGTTATCATTTACGTCAGCCACTTGGATGCTCAGAGTTTTAATCGCCGATAGAGGAGGCTTACCACAATCTATAGCTTTTATTATTAATTCATATTGTGGCACATCCTCTCTATCCAAAAATGTTTTGGTGACAACTGAGTACATGTTCTCCTTGTAAGACGGTTTTAATTCAAATGGTACGTTATTTGTAATTTGTGAAATAACTTTAGCATTCACACCGGAGTCTTTATCTGTGACACTAATAAGGGAAATAACTGTACCGGGTTTAGAATCTTCAGACACTTTTTTTGACAATGATGTCACTTCTATTTGTGGAGTATTGTCATTGACATCTTTGATTTTTATTATAATTCTACACTCTCCTGTCAGAGGAGGTGTTCCTTTATCTGATGCATCAATTTCCAGCTCATACACATCTTTTTCTTCAAAATCAATTTTTCCTTTTACATAAATCTCTCCAGTTCCTTTATCCATTTCAACAATGTCATAAATATCTCTACTTAACGTTTTTGAAAGGATGTAGTCAATTTCTCCATTACTTCCTTCATCTGGATCTGTTGCGTTCACTCTGAATATGGACGTGCCAGTTTCAATATTTTCTGTAATTGTAATTTCATAAATCTCCTGGCTAAAAATGGGTCTATTGTCATTGCTGTCAAGAACAACAATGGACACATTTAGAGTGCCTGAAAGTGGAGGTTTACCCCAAATCCTTCGCTATGTTTCCCACAACAGTTCCTTCTTTCACCTCTTCTGCGATGGAATATCTGATCTGTGCGCAAACTCCGCTCCACGACAAAATAAGCACAGCAATCAAAGCAAACAATCGCCTTTGTCCAACAGATGAGTCACGTCCTCCACGTTTCATAATGATGGAGCAGGAATATCCACAGTGAAAAAAAAATACCTTCGCCAAATGGCAATATATTCCAAAACTGTATTGTTAGGTAAATCCAACCACAGCGCTGACTATAGTCACCGTGAGCGCCCAGAATGCACCAAGCGCTATTGTGTAAAAATCCACCCGACAAAGGGGAGGATCATTTTTTTTGACAAAGAGATTCTCTCCGAGCACATTCGTGCACATACTGACACCAAGTGATCGCTTCCAGTATGTCGGATACGGAGACTTTCATCATTTGATTACAAATATACACAGGTACTCGTCAATGACATACATGAACGATTTCGATCTAAAAAAAACGAAAGAAGAATTAAGAATCGTTGCGCAATCACACAATGAGAAGGCAAACATTTGGCCTACCGATTCAACATCACACTGCACTCCTAAATTAATGTGTGGTTCCGAAATTCGCCACTGAGATTTGGACGACCGTTTGGATAAGAGTTTTATTATCCAACAAAAATTTTGAAGGCTTTATTTATAGTTTGAAACCGTGGTACTGGTGTATGACACAACATTTATTCTTTGGAATATTTGTTTCATGTCGTCTGTTCTAGATGAGTAATAAAACAGGTCGCTTGGGATCTTGAAGTGAGTCCCCGCCTGCTTTTGGCATGAAAAAACAAATATTTAAAGAGGACTTTTATTTTGAAGGACAACACCAGAAAAGTGCAGTGGTCTCACGATGGCGGTGAACACGTGACGTCCGAACACGACTCAAATGTGTGGAGTTTGGATGCCAGCTGCAGAAGGGTAAATATTTAATGTTTATTGTGGATTTTTGCACCTATAAAAACACGAGACAGCGTGCTCTTTTGATATTGTGTGCATTTATAACAGACAGCTAAGTCACATCCACCTCCGTTTGAGCTCACTACTAAACTGTAAAATGTCAAATATCGTGGCGTATTTGTTGTTTCTGTTTTATTAATTTTTTTAATGTTCCTGATATATGTACCTGTGTGTAAAAAATGTATATACTGTAGGGGGAACTATTTATTTACTGTTGTGCGAATAACTGCAATTTTAATCTTTGAATACTGTACAGTACTCATTTTTATACTGCAGGAAAGCAAACCACAGTGAAATGCAAAACTGGGCTGAATATAGATTATTGTTGATCAGGCCATCTTGATCCCATCATAAGCCTGACTCCTGATGGGAAGTATGACTGCCGGAAAACGCAAAGAGAAGCAATGCTCATGTGTTATTTCAAGTGGAATATACCTACAAATAAATAACAGCCAACTGAAACAACAGCAGGATGATGCCAAGTGTTTTTCATCACAATATGCAAAACCCAAATTCTTCACCAAAATCAGGTGAGAATCAACATTTTAAAACAATCAGAAGTGTTCAGGGCACAAATCGCTTATTGTGAACAAACACTGCATAGGGGAGTTCTTACCTCCCCTGACGTATGCCTCCTGTCAGGGAGCACCAGAGTGTTGGCGTGGCTGCCCGGGAATACGGTGGAACCGATACTCATTCTGGGTCCGACGAGCATGTAGCGCTTGTCTCCTGATCTGTACTGGATGCTGTGACACAGCGTGCCATCATAATTGGCGTCTTGCAGATATTTGGAAGTGTACTCTGTGGATTTGGAGCACTGCATGGCGATCAGCACGATGATGCTGATGACAAAAAGGAGCGACACCGAGCCCAAAGTGATAATGAGATAAAAAGTCACGTTGTCCTCCTCGTCCACTTTTGCTGCACTTTTCACATCAGACGCTGCAAAAGCCTCTTTGGGCTCCACAAGCTTGACGATCACAGTGGCTGTTGCCGA